CACTCCTCCTGTATGGATTCAGCTCAGGTGCCCAGGTAGATAGCCAGCAAGTGTGTGGTGGAGGCTCTCACCTACAGTCCTAGACAGGCATGGGTGACTGATGTAGGCACAGGCATCTGGCTGCAGCAGGGGGACACACTCTGAGCAATGCCGGGGCTGATGGCCACCCCTGAGTGTCCAGGAGAAAGGCATGTCCCTGTTCCCTAGAGCGCATACTTGGGTGGATTTTGCGGCCAGACTATGAGCACCCAATGCTGTTGGCTGTAAGGACTGCGGGGCACCTCTTATTCTTGGGCCCCTATCCCTGTTGGCTATGTAGCATGGGTGGAGCCACCAGTCCGCAGGCCCCGGATGTGGGTAAGTGAAGACCCTGCTTAATGGGCAGAGCAGTGTCACATGTCATGAACCTGCCCTTCACAGCTGAAACAGCTGAAGTTAGACTTCAGGTATATACCCTGTTTTACTGCAGTAATGAGGGCCTATGCTGTTGAAATAGGCCCACACAAGTCTCTGTGGGGGAAAGGCATTCAAAGTCCATGGATCCCTTATGCATGTGCCTAGGCAAAGGAGCTGTGCCTAGCTTGGGTTCCTGGGTTAGGGGAGCCGGCAGTTTATTTTTTCCCGTTTGTTAATTTGTTCACTCTCCAAGGCCGGGAGAATGGCTCAGGGCATGTGATGGATCCTACTTCCAGCCCAGGGGACTCAGCAATTGCTGAGGCTGGTCGGGGACCCAGTGCAGAGCAGGGACCAGGGAGGTAAATGGGAGAGACGTTTTTTCCAAAGGTGGGTGTTTTTGATCCACGTGGTAGGCTGGACGCAAGTACTTATCTTTTGCCAATCGAGGGCTGCTCCTCACTGGTTCTGGGTGGCCGAGTAGACTCTGCCCCTGGGTCTCTGCCAGTGCAGAGAATGCCTCCTGACCATTGCTGCTTGCCTGCCTCTCCGCTCACCAATGAGCTGATCAGGCCTGAAGGGCTCAGGCTCTAGCCAGCTCAGCTCTGGCAACTCCTCACTGCTTCCGAACCGTCTCTCCCTCCCCCTGCCACTCAGTCCGGTTCCTCATCTTTGCTTTTGATGTTCAGGGCTCCTAGATTGGCATATATAATTGATTCACTTGTTTTCTCGAGTCTTTGTTATAAGAGGGTCCACAGGGAGCATCTGACTACTCCACCTTCTTGGCCCCACCTCCCTAGAAATCTTTTCTATAGCAATTTTTGATGGAAGGGTAGTTGTTGGCATGACTAAAAGAACATGAAGGAAAGTGGAGCATGAACCTCAAGCTATCCATAAAAAAAGCCACACCAATGGTACAGTTGTTTTACTGAGCTCATTTAAAGATTAGTCTGTTCAAGAGTAGCTGGGATGGGGGTCTGGGGATATCTAGGTCAATTGGCATAAGAAGTTTTATTAAGAAAATGTTCTGTATCCTACTTTGGTGCGTGGCATCTGGGGTCTTAAAGCTAGTGAGCAGGCATCTAAGTTGCATCAATTGGTCCCAACCCAGCTGGAGTAAAGGAGAATGAAGAACATCCAAGTCACAAGGAAATTATTAGCCCAAGAGACAGGAAGGGCCACATAAACCAGAGACTTCATCAGCCTGAGACCAGAACTAGATGGTGCCTGGCTACCACCAATGACCAACCTGACAGGGAACACAACAGAGTCCCTGATGGAGCTGGAGGAAAGTGGGGTACAGAACTCAAATTCTAGGAAAAAGATCAGACTTTATGGTCTGAGACTGGAGAAACCCCAGAAAGCGTGGCCCCCGGACTCTGTCAACCCAGAACTAAAACAATTCTAGAAGCAAACTCTTCAGACAAAGATTAGACTGGACTATGGGACATAAAATAATACTCGTGAAGAGTGTATTTCTTGGCTCAAGTAGATATATGAGACTAAATGGGCAGCTGCTGTCCAGTGGTGAGATAAGGCAGAGAGGGTCAGGAGCTGGTTGAATGGACATGGGAATTCAGGGGTGGGAAGAAGTGTGCTGTCACAGTATAGGGAGAGTAATTAGGGTCACATAACAATGGATGTATAAATTTTTGTATGAGACTAACTTGAATTGTAAACTTCTACTTAAAGTGCAATGAAATAAATTAAAAAAATAAAGAGTAGTCTGTTCAACAAACTTGGAACTTTACTTTTTTCACATTATTTTAACAGTAAATAAGTTTCCTAAGTTTTGCAGATATTTAACCAATTGGGAAAAGACACAATACTGTAGTTAGTTTGGAAAGACTAGCTTTAAAAGAAAGATGAAGTGAATTAGAACCTTATTTCCAATCCATTTACTTTGTAAGCTATCAAGCTTTATCACTTAAGCCACCTTTTTTTCGTGCGTATATTTAGAGAGCCTTTTGGAAATGTATTAAAAGTCTTTGACTTCTTCAACTGGTTGACAAACTCTCGAGAATACTGAGAAACCTCCAGTAAGCCAGTATGTTTTCTTCTGGGTACAAACTTCAGAGCCTCTTCCCAACTACCAGTGTTTTTCAGACATAACAAAATACGCATCATTTGGTCTAAGGTGAGATTTTTCGTACCAGTTTCCCACTGTAAATATTTATCTAATGGAAGGCATTCTGTTGCCAGCTTCAGCCGTTTTGCATTGGCTAGGGATGTGCCTGGCTGCATATTCCTATCAACAAAAGACCCAATTATATAAATTTTGTCATGCTTAAAAGTAGTCATAACATTGGGAGAATCCGCAGTTAAGTAGATAATATTTTCCTTTCGAAATAAATCTACATGAGACTTCTCTGTTGCAGTTAAAAGCAGTTTGTCCCACTTCTCTCCATAACGTTTAACTAATTCTCTGTAATAATCACCATCTGTCTTAAGATTGCAGAAATAAATATGGAACGGATCAACATTTCTTCTGTTGCATCCTTCACTTTCTAAAAGTTGGGAAACAGCATTCTGCAGTTCTTTTGGTTTCATATAATTTTCATAAGCCATGTCAAAAACTAAAGGTTGTCCAAACTGCATGGCCTGTGCACCCTTCCAGCCCATTGCAATGTCTATATTCCTATCCCAAAGCCGCAGAAATAGGAAGTTTTGCTGTTTATCATCCTCAGTGGTTTCTAGCAGTTTGTCTTTTTTTGCTTCTTCCTTTGCTGCTGCTTTCATTTCCTTTTTTATCTGCTTAGCTTTTTTCATTTTTTCCTTAACATATAAATATTTTAAGTATTTCCTTTTTGATGATTTCGAAGGACTTTCCATAACAGTTTTGAGATCTTCTTCACTGATGTGTTCTGGTACTTCTCTGCCAAGCAATCTCCACATCTCAATTAATTCTCTTGTGGCAGCTAGAGGGTCTTCATCCTTGCTGTTTGAGACTGCTGAGATACCTTCTTCTTGCACACTAGATTTCATTGTAATTTTCCACCCATCCAATTCTAGCTGTTCAGGAGGCAAAGTACGCTCTTTATTAGGATAGGACACAGCTGGTACTTTGGAAGACATGTATTTCTGTAGAACTGTTGAACATACATCTTTTCTCTTCCTATGAAGGGTAAATGGCACCAAAAATCTAGCAAAAGGTCTTAAGAAGGTGAAACTAACACTCATGTTGAGAAAAACAGGCATGCAAGAAAACCCCTGTAAAAGAAAAATGCAATGAAGAGTTAGATAAAGATATTTTAAAAAAAAAAAAAAAAAAAACCAAACCCCAACTAACTGTGCAAATATAAATCTGAGACACCAAAATGCAACTGGTTTCTGAAACACAAAGTGAGATCTTGGTACAACAATTTTTTTCTAAACTCCTGTGGCCTGCAGCCTATGGTCACTCACTGGGCAAAAACTTTGAATTTAGTTCTTATTTTAGACACAAGTTTACTATTGCTTTAAACCCAAAAAAAACAAACCCACTGCCATCAAGTCGATTCCAACTCACAGGAACGATACAGGACAGAACAGAGCTGCCCCACGGGGTTTCCAAAGAGTGGCTTGTGGATTAGAACTGTCGACCTTTGGTTAACAGCAGAACTCAACCACTGTGCCACCAGAGCTACCAGTATTGCTTTAGGCAGACGGAAAGCTTGAATATCCTTATTAGATTTGTATCTAAGAGCCTGGAGGATCAGTGTTACTGGACAACCAAGTTATGTACCACTGATGTAGCTGAGATCATGATGCTACATTTATTCCCATTTAAATGCAAGCTCAGATACAGACTTAAATACAAGACCCTTCACAAATACAACACATAAAAACAAAGGACAGAAAAGCTACAGAAGATAGCAACTGGTAATAAGCACTTAAAGGCTGTGGCACCGATGTAATGTATATCAATATATACAGAGCTACTGATTAAAAAACAAACAAATCAAACTCTTCTCCAGTTCAGACTTTATTTTGCAGCAAATAATGTTATTGCTAAACAAAATGTCCAAAATTGGGACAAATATAAATATAAAGCTTCATAATTTTATCCTAAAGGTCTGTATGTCCACAAGATGATGAAGATGCTTAGAGATGTGAAACCAGTGTCAAATTTGAAGCCAAAAATAAATAAATAAATTCAAAGTTTTACAAAACACAACTTAAACACCTGAAAAGAAAAATTCCTTCTTCCCTTGGCTTCATTTAATGACTCTGCTCCTAAGTCTCCTACCTCTTTGACCACTTAGTCTCCTGAATGCCTCTGCACTGATAACCAGATGCCTACCCCTTAAAAGTGGTGTGCCTCTTCGTTCTGTCCTTAGTACTTTCTTCAATCTACACATTTTCCTGATCCGCTTCCCTGGCTTTAATCATCATGCATCAGACACCTCAAGTGCAAATAATACTCTCTCCCCCTTCCCTTCCCAACCTGCTCGTCTGTTTGTGTTCTGTTTCGCGGAGGGTCACTATTATCCATCTAGTCGCTGGAGCCAGAAAATGGGTCCTCTCCCACACTCACCATACCCAATCCATTTGTGTTAAATTCATTTTACTTTCTAAATACTTCCTGAATCCATTCACTTCTCTTCAAACTCATTTTCTTAACTGCAGCTCCTAGCCTCCAGATTTGCTCTCCACCATGTCTAAGCCGTTGTCACCAGTGCAAACCTGATCAATGGCACTCAGATCGCCTTCAATGTGTATTGCTGCGAGGTTAAAGTACAAACTTATTAATATGACTTACGATGTTTTTTTTTGTTAACCTTTGCTTACTTTTTCCAGCTGAATCTCTAGCTATGCTTCACCTCATATTTTTGAGCAAGTATTCCTCCTACTGGTGCACCCTGTACCTCTCTATCATAGCATTTATAACACTATATTGTAATTGCCTGCTTACTTATTTGCTCCATTAGATAGTAATCTGCATCAGGACAAGGACTGTGTCTATGCTGTTAACATTGAATACTCAGTGTCTGGTAGTATTTGGTTCACAATAATCACTCAAAAAATTTTTTTGAATAAATACCCTGGATCAGTGCTTTTTAATTCTGAAAAAATTTTAGGCCACCTTTAAGGGAAAAAAAACAACTTACTTCCAACTCCCCAAAATATTTAACCAGGGGTCCTCAACCCCAATCTGAGAAACACTGATTTTGGAAACAAAAATATTTTAATGAATTTTGTTTTTATAATTGGCTCAAGATTTTTAGAATAGCATAGAAATAAAAACCCAAAATGAAAAAAAAAGTGATCAAGAACATCGCTTTGGGAAACACTGCTCTTGATCCGGTATTGTATTAAAACCAATTGTTGTAGAGTCCATTCGGACTCACGGCAACTCCATGTGTTTCAGGGTAGAGCTGTGCTCCAAAGAGGTTTCAGTGGCTGATTTTTCAAAGGTAGATCCCCAGGCCTTTCTCTCAAAGTGCCCCTGGGTGGACTGGAACCTCCAACCTTTCGGTTACGTTAACCGTTTGCACTATCTCTTTCTCTTATCTGTGGGCATTCTTAGCGCATGCTACACTAAGTATATCTTGGAACATCTCCCACTTCCTCCCACCCCAACACACGGACACACAGACACACAGACAGACACACTTTCTCCCACCCCAACACACAGACACAGACACACACGTAGTTCAGAAGAAACATGTCCATTACCAGAAACAACAGCTCCGTCAGCGCAAAGTGCACGAACCCTTCAAGCTACAAAACCCAACCGCGCAGGATCGCTCTGGGACCCGCGCCGCAGGAGTCTCGCCACGCACTGCCCACCTCAACTCGGTTACTGACCCAGGCAGGTAACCGACGGCGCCAGCGCGCAACCGGAAGTCCCACCCCCTATCTCGGCGCTGGCATCTAACGTCACGCAAGGGGGAGGTGTGCGCCTTTCCACCCAGTGCCCACGGAAAGCTTTGTAGAGGAATGCAGCGGGGATGCTGTGTGTTGCTGGCCGGTGGTACCTGCATTTGGCGTGTGGCAGAAGACCCTCTCAACCTGTATGGGGCTCCTGTTTATTTCCATTTATCTTAAAAACTGTTTCAAATTCTTTCTATTTGGGCCTGGTATTTATAAGCATTAATTCATATAAAATAGTCCCCTCACAAGTCTCACATAGCTTTAAACCAGGGCTTCCAACCGGTTTGTTCAGGTTCGAACCCCGCTGAGAATTTACTTTTCTAACAAGTTCCCAGGCCATGCCAATGCTGCTGGTTAGGGATGGATTCTGAGAACCACTAGTGCAGAAGTGGTTGTCAAAATTTATATGTAATACATAAGAATCACCTGGGGATCTTGTTAAACTGTAGATTCTGATTCAGTATATCTGGGATGGAAATGCAAATTCTCAGCATGGGTTGCAACTGGAATGAACCCAGTTCCAAGCCCTGCTTTAAACTCTTTGATGCTTGTTAACCTTTTAACTTGTTAACCTTTCTGACCAGTTTATCACCAGTGCGTAGCACTTTGCTTGGAACATGGTAAGCAAAACTAAATATTCATCTTCCCTCCCAGCTTATTTGGAAATTTAATGTGAAAATGAAGTTAAAGCAGAGATTGTAAATTGGTGGCCTTTGGGCCAAATCCAATCAGAGGTGTTCTGTTTTGCCAACACAGTGTTTTCAAATGTTTTGATTTAGTTGTCGTTAAAACATAAGATGCCTTCACATTAGAACTCAAATAGAATAAGCGGAAAGTCTGAATACCTTTGGCCCATGTTCTTGCTTGGAAACTGGTAGATCTAAGTAGAGGCTGCTTTGTACGAAAGTCACCTGCTTTTCAGTTCTTCACAACTCATTCCACCACAAGTCTTTTCTACAGTGGAATAAGTGTTGATTGTCATTTACCGTGCTGGCACTGTTTTTCATATGGTGGAGAATTATTTCTCTGTACCAATGTCTCTATCAAAAGTTTGAAGACAAAACATGGATCCAAAGGTCTAGATGTTTTTTACAAAGTGGAGACCTCTTCTGATTCTCTTCTGTGTCCTCAGTGCCTATAACAGGACCTTACATGTAGTGGGAATTTAATTATTTGCTGATGAATGAATACTGTAGTTCATGTAAGAGGTGATAATGGCTTGGACCAGAGTGATGGCGGTAGAGATCACGACCAGGGGCAGATATGAAAGATATTTAAGAAATAGAAATGACCAATTTGGTGACTGATTGGAATTTAGGGGAAGCAGGAGAGGAGGAAGTTCAATAGTCTGGCTTGAGCATCTGGGCAGATGATTATAGGTAGGGTTGTTAGTAAGACGGGGCTTTGTTTTCAACACAAACATTTCTTGTCTGTGGCGAAAAATATTGATGCTTTGCAGAAAAAGAGAAAGCCAGTTTCTAATGAGATGGATTGATACAATTACCATAACAGTGTCCTCAAACATACTAACAATAATGAAGATGGCAGAGGACCGGGCCATGTTTTGTTCTGTTATACATAAGGCTGCCATGTGTTGGAGCTGACTATATGACAACTGACAACAACATAAACAAAAACACACAGAGCTGTTTATCAAAACAAGAAAAATGTAAAAGTGACGAGATAATTGTGCTCCCAGATAATTTTATAACCAACTGAGTTGAGCTGCTTTATCATAAGTTTCAGTTGGCGTAATTTCTGATGTGGTGGTTTAATATATGTCCACAAATTCTTTGATACTCTTTTCAAGAGTGGAACCAAACTCCCCTTTCCTTGGACTTAGAGACTCACTTCTAACAAATAGAAAAAAAATGGAGCCTCATGAAACTTTGGAAACTAGGTCATAAGAGACAGTGTAGTTTCCTGCTTGTTCCCTCTCTTGGATCACTCAACCTGGAGGAAGCTAGCTGCCATTTCACGAAGACACTAAAGCAGCCTATGGCAGAGGTCCATGTGGTGAGGAACTAAGCTCTTCTGCCACAGCCAGCAAGAAAGTGAGGCCTTCTTACAACATCCAGTCAAGTCTTCAGATCACTGCAGCTCCAAGCAGTCTTGTCTGCACCCTCATAAGAGATCCTGAGCCAGAATTATTGAACTAAGCTGCTCCTGAATTCCTGACCAACAGAAAGAGTGAGATAATAAATGTTTGTTGTTTTAAACCACCAAGTTTTGAGGTGATCTGTTGTGCAGCAATAGGTAACTAATACAGCTAACAGATTAAATAAGAAATCAAGGGTTGTGAGGAACAACAGATTAAATAGTAAATTTAGGGCTATGAGAAACGTCAACTTTCAGTTAATTAAGTGCAGATACCTATGGGGCAATGAATTACTATTGCATGGCCCTTCTGGCCATGGTCTTGTAACTCCCACAAAATGATTGGGTGGGACTATGCAAATAAGGTACTTACGGTCCACCAAGGGGATTGGACAACCTGCTAATGCAAATAAGGCACATGGAACCCTTGTAGGGAATTGGTCAGTTTTGCTATCCCACTAGGCTTAAGGGAGCCAATCCCAGAGGTTGGAGGGGGAGCTCAATACCATCAAGAAGAAAAGCCAGGAGGGGAGAACCTCCTAGATAGACCCAGCTGACAGTGCAAGATGGCAAGAACTGGCAGGAAGTACAGAAGAACCAGTGGCAGAGAAATGGCAGCAGCAGAACCAGGAGACTGGCATGAGAAGATGTGGTGGGTTTCCTAGCCCATGGAGTGAGGTGGCTACAGTGGTCATGCCAACTCATGGAGCAAGAGAGCTGAGCACCTCTGGTAGGAGGTTTGCTGGTGGAGTGGGGTGCCTCCAGGTACCTACTGGTGAAACTAAAGAAAAAGTTGTAATATTTGTATGAGCAGGGCCGAAGGCCTAGCCCGAGAGTGAGGCCCCAGGCCCAGAGCAAGGGACCAGTGGCAGCAGCCAAAAAGAAGCTGTCCTGATTGAATAACTGTATCCTGAGTTGTTTCTGTTACTTCCAATTTGATCCTAATCCCGAATTGTAACCTGTTATTTCCCTAATAAATCCCATAATCATGAGTATGGCCTGTGAGTTCTGTGTGACCATTACAACAAATTATTGAACCCAGCAGATAAGTAGAGTGCCATGGGAGGGATGGCTGGTGTTAGAATTGGTTAAAAAAAAAGATGAAGAGTGGAGGTATGTCCAACCTCCACCTCATAGGATTCAGCCTTGGGCTGATGTTGATACTGATCTAAATTCTCTCTCCTCCCCCTGAAGTTGGGCAAGGAGGTCTGATGCCATGCCATTTTTACAATAGCACAGCTTTTATAGTGATAGTAATGTTTGCTTTTTTGGTGTTCACATTAGGTGCATTAAATGTATTCTAGATAGAATATCTATGTTGGAAGGGACTTCAAAGCCCACCTCATTCATTTACAAAATGGGAAATGAGGGCTTAGAGAGATTAACTGGTTTACCCGAGGCCAAGATTGATTTAAAATATACGTATCTTGGTTTACATGGGGAATCCAAGGTCGAGAAGTGAAGAGTGTTGACACGTTGTGGGGTTGGCAACCAATGTCACAAAACAATATGTGTATTAATTGTTTAATAAGAAACTAATTTGCTCTATAAACCTTCACCTAAATCACAAAAAAGTAAACAAACAAAAACAAATAAATAAAATCTACCTATACTGATTTACAATTCAGTGCTTTATTTTCCATTATGCCACTCAAGATATGATATAGAAAGAAGAGAAATTTGAAATACTGTGTCTTTACTAATAAGAAATAATAGCACATACTAGCTTAAAAAAGCAGACACTAAAGATAGCTACATACAGAAAAATCTGTATGTCCTGTTAAAAATGGCAGAGTATTTTCAAATGCAATGTCTAGTATGGGTTCCTCTTTTATTAATCTATGGGCAGAACTAAGAAATAATTTGTAACCTTTTTCATTTTCTCTGTTTAAAATTTTCTGGAAGCTCAAAGCCACCAAAAGAATGGAAATAATACAGATCAGAGCAGAAATAAATGAAATAGAGAAAAGAAAAACAATAGAAAGAAGCAACAAGACCAAAAGTTGGTTTTTTGAAAAGATCAACAAAATTGACAAACCACTGGCCAAACTGACAAAAGGAAAATAGGAGAGGAAGCAAACAACTCAAATAAGAAATGAAATGGGGGACATTACAACAGACCCAACTGAAGTAAAAAGGATCATAACAGAATACTATGAAAAATTATACTCCAACAAATTTTCAAACCTAGAGGAAATGGACAAATTTCTAGAAACACACTACCTACCTAAACCAACACAAGCTGAAATAGAAAATCTGAACAAACACATAAGAGAGGAGATTGAAGAGGTAATTAAAAAAAACTCCCAACAACAACAAAAAAAGCCCTTGTCAGGATGGCGTCACTGGAGAATTCTACCAAATATTCAGAGAAAAGCTTACATCAGCACTACAAACTATTTCACAGCATAGAAAAGGAAGAAATACTCCTGACTTCATTCTATGAAGCCAGCATAACTCTGATACCAAAGCCAGGCAAAGACACAACAACAAAAAAGAAAATTACAGACCGATATCTCTCACGAATATAGATGTAAAAATTTTCCATCTAGCCAATAGAATTCAGCATCATATCAAGAAAATAATACACCATGACCAAGTGGGATTCATACCAGGCATGCAAGGATGGTTCAACATTAGAAAATCAATCAACATAATCCACTATATAAATAGAACAAAAGAAAAGAATCACATGATCATCTCAATCAAAGCAGAAAAGGCATTTGATAAAGTCCAACACCCAACACTGATAAAAATTCTCAATAAAATAGGAACAGAAGGGAAATTCTTCAACATAATAAAGGGCATCTATACAAAACCAACAGCCAACATGATTCTCAATA